CCAAATGGCAGGCGTGTTTAGAGCAACTTCTCGCCAGATAGCACAAACCTGACTCAAGTCAAAGGCTGGTAATGCTATGTCAAAGTCAGAAATGCCAAACTTTTTATTGGTTCCCTGCATAGATAGAGAAAGACGAGGGTGAGGATCTCCAGAGGAAGGCGACGAATGGGTGACAAGAGTGAGCGGCAGTTAGCGAGGTAACGCTCCAGATGTGTGCGTTTGTGCTTGAGGGCAGAGATGGTCGTCTCCAATCGAATAATTTCTGTATCGTAGTCTGCGAGATCCTTCTCCGCATCACTTAGAAACGGTTTCATGACATCGCGGTCCTGGAATCCGATAGAAGAACGCAACTGTTGGAGAATCTCGTCGGATTCGATTGATACCCTCGGGTGAAAAGTGGTAGGGCTGCCACATGTAGAGCACCGGGTCATGGTGGAGGTAAGGTGATGGAGGTAAGGCCGTTCGTACAAAGCTAAATAAAAGAGATTTTAAAAGGTGAATTGGTGCTACACGGACTTTATCACTCACAATTCGTTCTGCCAATGGTGATCGTCTTGATGACTCTTAACTGTTAACACACCCGACTCGGACCAATGGCAAGTGGACTCTGGAGCCTGTGAGTAAATCACGTGCTCGCGTTTTAATAAAGCGAGGTCGCGTTGTAGTACTGCTTCTACCACTTGCCACTTGCCACTAACTTTCACCAACATCGAAGAGATAAAAGAAAACAGCACAGAAATGGCTGGTAAGACATATTTACGCGTCTTTGTACTATTGTCAACTAAAATTTCTGATGCTTTAGACGATAAAGCCATGGAGTCATCGATGCCTTTGAAAGTTTTGTGTGAGCGCTGCAGCACAAAGGTTTCTCATCCGTTCGATTTCAAACACGAAATCAAATTTGATCCTTCCAAACTGCGGTCATTCTTCACCCTGTCTGATAGAGAGACTCAGGAAATATCATTTTCTTTGTCTGCTGTCGACCGTGAAATCGCTTGGTATGATAAGGAGATCAATAGGATGAAAAAACACACGTCCGAGTTGAAGAAGAAGAAGCTGGGGGCTATAGCCTATAAAACCTATGTTCGGGCCTTCGTGTCTCCCATTCGAAAACTCCCTGTAGAAATCCTGGGCGATATTTTTCATCTCTATTGTCTGCAGCACCTCGCCGACTTTGAAAAAGGCCGTTCCGTTTCTGTGCCAGCACTACTCCTCACCAGTATTTGCTCTTTGTGGAGGACCGTTGCCCTCTCCAGGTCTGACCTTTGGGCAACGATTCATCTCCACCCCGGCAGCATGTGTGTGCATGACCAACGAATCCTCTTGAAAACCCTTTCACTCTCGCGTCAGACACCTCTAGACATTATTGTGCACTCAAGCGTTGGTCCCGTGCCGTGGATGATCTACGATGACGAAGCCTCTCGCAAAGCCATGAAGTCCTTGCTGGATAATTCCTCGAGGTGGAAAACTGCCGTTCTTCGAATTCCATTCCATATCTTCAAATCTCTAGGTGGAAGGAAGTCAGCTGTACCCCGTCCCGAGTTTACTATTCTCGAAAAACTCGAGCTCGGCTTTCCACTCAATCCCATGATCCTACGTAGTGACGAGTGGTGGCGTGTGGGCAGTAGAATTTTTGAGTCCGCCAAGCGTCTCAAGTCGCTCACTCTTCCCGAATATAACCCTAGCATGAAAATTCATCTCCCTTCCACTTTCAAGAATGTTCGCGAGCTCTCCATCCAGTTCATTGAAGACAGCTGGGTTGATGTTCTCAGGTCCTTCCAGAACCTTGACAGCCTTCATATTCTCGAGTATGGCGGGTCTGATTCGGCACCTCCTGACAAGATCGCTTCGAGTCAAATTACATCCTCTGATCTTACACATCTACTAGTTTCCACCTCCCATGATACGCAAAAGCATCTCAGCCTTTTTTCTCACCTCCGCCTTCCCAACCTGGAGCGCCTCGAGGTCATTGCAACG